CATGAATCAATCATTGATCGTGCATGAATCAATCATTGATCGTGCATGAATCAATCATTGATCGTGCATGAATCAATCATTGATCGTGCATGAATCAATCATTGAAAATAACGACTGGCGATGAAAAAATGATGGTTTTTCTCACGATACGTTCACTATACGGTCAACTATACGCTCCACGCTATACCCACGCTCAGAGCCGTATGAGTTCTTACCAGATTTGGATCTGGATAACCGCACTCTGTTAACTGACTGGCGGGTCGTTAAAACACAGACCATGCACCATTTGGTACAAAATTCACTATGTCCCGTTCTTCGTATTATCAGGGGTTAATAATGACAAATATTATGATTTCATATTATGATTTTATATGATGATGATGACAAATATTATGATCATTTATTATATAATATGATATATATATATATATATATATATATATATATATATATATATATATAGTCTCACTTATTATCTCGCGCTCATTGATTGGAAAATCTATTCATTCATAGACAAAAGAAAATCTAATTACTTTGCATTTTTTATCTTTGAAGTCTTGCGGTAGCATATCGTAAGGTAGATGAGTCTTGATAAATCTCTTCTGGTCTTTCGGCCACTCATCTGGATCGACATCGATGACTCCCGGAAACTTGAAGTCCATACACGGGAATCTTTCTTCCAAGATCTTTTCTTTCGACTTTTCCTCGTCCAGTCCATTAGCTATCAAGTAAACGACCTCCTGTGTCCACGTCGTACCTGATGAAAATTAAATTAAATTAATTTACATGCCGCTATCGAAATATGCACGCACGTTACATTTTATACAGAATTACCAATAGCAAAAGTAGATAACTTTAGAAAACTATTTTTGCTAATAGGTCTATGATGAATACATATGTATATTAGTATATTATCAGGAGTGTATCAAAATTGTTTGATACACTCCTGATATTATGTATATATAGGCTATATATATGTTGATACTATGTATACAATGTATAAACAATATACCTAAAATATTTATACATTGTATAGATATCTTCGTGCTATAATAGGCATAGTGGTATGTCTACACATTCTACTTCCTTCTAGATTGCCGGCTTGTATGAAAGGTCAGGTATTACAAATAGACCACGTACCGTATCTACTCAGCAAACGCCGGCGCAAACTCAGTCAGAGAGTCTGACTCGCTTCGTCGTTTCACTAAGACAGTACGATAGATACATTATCGTATACCCTGTATATATATATATATATATACATATACATATATTATATTATATATTATATTATAGTATATATTATATATATATACGTTATATACTTATATATATATCTATATATATATATATACATATATATATATATTAATTATATATCAGAGTGAATAATAATAATTGCTTCTAGAATGTCTAGAATATAGAAGATTCTATTATTTATCCTCTCCTGATATATATATATTATATATATAGTATATATAGTATATAGAGAGAGAGAGAGAGAGAGAGAGAGCAGAAGAGAGAGAGAGCAAGATGGCTGGTACGGTAGGGGAGTAGAGAGAGAGAGAGAGAGCAGCAGCGGCTCGAGAAGAGAGAGAGAGAGAGGAAGACGGAGCAGAGACGATATACACTACTCCTAGAGTACGATGGTTATCGTATCCCAGTCGGAGTGTGTCAAACGACTATATGGTCGGGTGCGTCTAAATCATATGGTGAATCATGAGTGAGTTACTATAGTTGAACTAGCCTTGTTGCCACAGCCCAGAGAAAGTGCAAGGCCGTGTACTAGAACAGGCTATTGAGTCCTAGATCTTATAGTTGAAAGCGTCCTTTATGGGCGGACTCGAAATCATAATCCACATTTTGATCGTTCATGAATCAATCATTGAATCGTTGCATGAATCAATCATTGATCGTGCATGAATCAATCATTGATCGTGCATGAATCAATCATTGAATCGTGCATGTAATCAATCATTTATCGTGCATGAATCATCATTGATCGTGCATGGAAAATCATTGATTGCATTGATCATGCATGAAGATCGAATCATTGAATCAATGGCATTGACAATCTGATCTGCATGAAATCAATCCATTTGATCGTGCATGAATCAATCATTGTCGTTGCATGATCAATCATTGATCGGTGCATGAATCAATTCATTGATCGATGTCATAAGAGTCGAATCATATTTGATCGTGCATGAATCAATCAAGTTGATCGTGCGCATGAACTCATCATTGATCGTGCATGACATCAATCATTGAATCGTGCATGATCGGCATTGTCTGCATGAATTCAATCATTGATCGTGCATGAATCAACTTGAAAATTAACGACTGGCGCATGAAAAAATGGATGGTTTTCTCTCACGATTACGTTCACTATACGAGTACAACATATACGCCTCCACAGCTTACCACGCTCAGAGCCGTATGAGTGCTTACCAGATTGGATCTGGATAAATGCCGCACTCTGTTACTGAACTGCTGCGGGTCGTCTAAAACAGCAGACCATGCACCATTTCGGTACAAAAGTTCACTAATGTCCCGTTCTTCGATTATCAGGGTTAAATTATGACAAATATTATGTATTCATATGTATGATTTTATAGTGCATTGATGATGACAAACTATTATGATCATTTATTATCATAATTGATGAATATATATACTAACTATATATATATATATATATATATAATTTGATGTCATTTATTAACCCCTGCGTATTATGAGCGCACTGCGAAAAGTTATAATTTATTTAGGGTGGATTATGCGATCAATGTCCTATACCAGATTTCGGCGATGCCGCTACAAGCACGTCGTCCTGGATTTCGCCTTTCTGTTCTGTAGTTTGGCCTTGAAACGGTCGACCGTTCGTGCAATGAGCGATGTGAACCTTTCGCTATTATCTGCACGTACTCGAATATCTCATTGTATGTAAAAAAACGTCGTCCATTCTAAAATAGACATTTATCTAAATGAAATGACTAATATTGACTAATGACAATTGTCATTATATATGTATTTCTTTATTATCACCCCTGATAATTAAGAGCTAATAATACCTTTTATTATTAATTAAATGAGTATTTAGCGTATTATTAGCTCTTAGAATATATATTATATATATATATATATATATTAAGCGTGGCGCGCGCGCACAGTGTGTGTGTGTGTTGGCTTGTGTGTGTGTGTGTCTGGCGTGCGTGAGTGCGTGTGGTGTGTCGTGCGCGCGACGCGCGTTGTTATTTGTGCGTCCATGTGAGGCCCGCCGCCACGGCCGCTGTGCGCGCACGCGCGTGTATGTGTGGTTTGTCCATCGTGTGTGCAGCTGTCGCTGTGTTGCGTCGTGTGTGGGTTAGCGCTGTGTGTGCGTGGTGCGTGCGGTAGGCCCCCTGTGTGTATTGCGTGCAGTGCGTGCGTAGGCCGCCTACGCGATCCTTCGGTCCACCCGTGGAGTCTGTGTGTGTGCGTGCGCACGTGTGTGTGCGCGTATTTTTATATATATATATATTATTTCTAGTTTTACGTTAATGAAGATAACTACCTCACCTTGTGTCTATTGCGTGGAATCAAACAGGATAATGATGTAGAACGCTCTCTATCTCGCCACTGCTCTGCCGGGGTTGATTGCCTTCTACCGACTGCGCTGTGTTAGAGTCACGGACTGCACGTGTAGACAGTTCTAGCAGACTTCGTGCCACGTTTGTTTGCGTGGTTAGGATACGCTCACGATTCGCTGATTAGTTATTATCTTAGGCGTCCACGCTTGCTTATCGAGAGAGTTAGGTGCGAGCGAAGCACGATTGCATATAGAACTAGAGCACTCGGAGAGCACAGACCTCCGCCAAAACAGCTGAATTCTGTGACTGTGAAATTTTTTATTTATTAATTAATTAATTAAATAATTAATTGGATCCGGATCACCACCAAAATCTAATCAATTCCAAGTTAGCCCATTTCTGACCTATCCTGAATATTTTATGACAATCCGTCCAGAACTTTTTCAGTTAGGCTGTACACAAACAAACCCACAAACCAACAAACACACGCCGGTGAAAACATAACCTCCTGCAAACCCCTTAGCGGAGGTAATGACATGATACAATCAGGAGTGTCATGATATAGATGTGTCATCGTAGGTGTTATCATAGATGCCCTCTATATTATAACACTCCGGGTACAATGACATGCCATGCAACTGGTATTGCTGGCTGAATAAATAATGATTTTATGTTTCTACTTTTGCATAATCGTTTTCACGTCGTTTAATGTTAATTTTCATGTCTATTTGGGGTCCATTTCCATGATTTTTAGTTTCTTTTCAGTCCAAATTCCGTTTTCAATACCGCATCATATTTCTATTTTAATTGCAGTCACTTTTCATCAATTTTGTCTTATTAGGTCATCTGGCATGGTCAGAACGGCGGATAAACATAATTCCTATTTGAAGAAAATTATCGTGATGTCATGTTGTAACAGATGCGAGCATAAACCTATGACTTAATTCTACATCGAATTAAAGATACGATAAAGAGGGTTAAAGAGGGTTAAAGATACGATATTAATTTTAAAATAACTACCAAAAACCAATATTTAATTTGGAATTATTTTAAATCTAAAAAAAATCGATAAAAATCTAATAGATAATGTGAAGCTTGTAAGAGAGTGACAAACACACTTTACCACATCACAAAAACGCACACAGAAATAATAATAAATGCCATAAATTGAATTTTTATTCATGTTTCACAATATAATATTCAACGAGAAACATCCCCACACAATCCAGACCGACTGCGTGGCTACGCACAACACGACGAATATATCTATACTCTATTTACACTTTTAAAAAGCACTTTTGGCAGTTAACGGGTGAATATCACTCCAATAAAGTTAAATTCTACCCTAATCTTAGTTTGCAGACAAATGGTATATTGTCATCATGATCAGTTTTTACCCAAGAATTGAATTCACGAGTTGCTGGATGAAATACTTTGCAATAAATTAATCACAAGACGAAATAAAACCAAGCCATCTCTATTACACTCTCAATTAACGAATCAATGCATAGTTGGACATAGTGGAGATTTTAGATCTAATTAATTTAATGAGATCATACTGACTTGTAAATACAGCTTGCTCGAATGCCAGTTCTAGCTTTCAGATTGTATATTAGTCATATATTTCTTCAGATTCGTCAATCGGAAGAACTTCCACTGTCTGATAACTTTACTGCAGCAACATTGGCTGATGATCGATCAATTTTACTGTGTTTCACCGCTACCTTGATTCGCGGATGATCAGCCTTTGATGTGAAACCACGTTTAGTAGCATGCTTTTCACCTCTGGGTCTCAGTTCTCTAATCTGTTTCGATGTTGAAGTTTCATTACTGCTGCCAGCTCTATCAGAGCTCTTCCCAGACAGACCTACTGAATCATTGGCACACCCGTCTACTTTGCTCTTGTCACTCTGTTCACCTTGTGAATCGTGGTTTCTGGCACGAGTGAGGGCACGCTTCACTCTCTTGCTTTTCAATTTACGTCTTTCGGAGGGTTGAACCACGAAGAATCTGTCAATCTTGACCTGGAAGCAGAGACAGTATTGCTGTCATGGCAACTAACTACTTAGCATTGCTGCCGGTACACCAGTAAAATCAAAAGCAAAGAATCGGATACATATATAAATAGCTTAAATAAACGATCATATATTTTTGGACACACATGGACTATGCACATGAATAATATACGATAGCTTCGAGTCGCTACAGAAATGGAATACTTGAAATTATTCGAGATCGTGGTTTTGTCTAACTTTTATATGGCTTTATGGATATAAGCTTCGGTATAATCCTAGTACTGGATGCCTTGCCGTTCATGGGTTGGAAATCTGGACAGGGTAATGTCTCTGTAGGCGTAACTGGCACAAAAGGTTATATATATATATATATATAATATATATATACAGTCATCGTATAGCTAGTCAACATACACATTCAACAGCGAAAATACTTACAGTGGACATACTAGGAATTTGACTTACCTTACCTTGCAGCCTGTCCTTATGGCCTTAGTTTGGTGTTATTAATTGTGTGCTTCATTTAAGCAATAATAGGTCCATTGATTACTTGCAATGTTGATGAATGCCTTGGAGATAACTGGCACCTTGTGTAGTTATATATGTAATTACCTTATAGCCAATGCGCGTGATTTTTGTCAATAGTCACTGCCTGGTTATAATTATTAAATGTCTAATTAAACATCGCAGTCCAAAAATCAGTTGTTTTACAGTTAAACGCTGCCGGCGATAGCGTGGTGTGGCATCACAGATTTATAGCGTGCACCCGGACATTTTCGCACGCATGCTCGCCGTACGCAATGCTAATCATCCTAGTGGATTCGTAAACATGAACGCCCACGCTCGCGGACTAAGGACTTTTGTCAGGGCTTCCGTCGCCCGCGGCTCCGTGATTAGTAACGCGTTTGTTATACTCTATTTTCCATGTTTTAGTCCGTGGCCGTCCGGTTACATCGCTGACACCTCCCGTTTCATCTGGCGCTCCAAAACATACGAGCCCGCAAAATGTTTACGTCATGTTGACTCCTCTGGATGACATTGTTACCGGCACGTAAGATGATACGCCGATACATTATCACACTGTAATGCTTCTTATTAGTTTGGCCATTGATGATATCAAACATTAATGAACTCCGAAGAGGTATAACACCACCTCGTTTTGCCAATCCAATTCCCGCCCCCTGCCTACTTTTTATTTCTTTATTCCGGAATGTCCGCTCACGCAATGCGTCACATTGCGCACATAGAGTGCATCGATACAAAACGTAAACACTTAGGGCTGGACATCACATTTCTCGCCCAACTTGAACAGAAGTGTCTATGCCGATACCAAAGTAAATGATTAAAACACTGATTATTTGCTTTAGTTTTAAAATTACGATTGAGCCGCAATTTTTTTTCAGAAACGATATCGCGTAGCTGAATAGAAGCCTAGGAACTATCTACATCGATATAAACGTAAACACTAGGCCCATGACGAATGTCCTTACCATCTATCTGGCAGCGCACGCTCTCGGCCGTGCGGTCTGCTTTTGCACTCAGGTAGCCTTGGAAGAGTGCCTGCGCCACAGGCCGGTCCGGCCGGCCGGATCGTCTTGGTCGACGGTATTGAGTGCTAAACCAGCTTCTTCCTCGCTCCTCATCCGATGACGTCGCGGTACGATCTTCTGGAACGTGTGGGAGCGTTTAAATTCGGTGCACCCCTTACGCCTGGGGCGTGGGGACGAGTTTTCTGGTTACAGTCTTTCCACTGACGCTCTGCTGTCACATCGATCCGTTCTCGGTCGTCACCCCAATTGTAGCGGTTTCGCGACCCAAACGGCCTGGGGTCGGACTTCCTCAGTGCCCTCTCTCTTCAGCCGAGCACCGCGGTTCAACCAATCTTTTATACCAGACTTCTCTGACATATGCCTTTCGATCTGCCATACACCTTCATCCGCCCGCTGTAGATCTGCGTCCTTCTGGCGGCACGCTCGTGCCTGCCGGTCTCTCCGTACGCCGCATCCGGGGTTTAGCGAGTTTTTTAGATGGCCTCGCGCGAACATCAGCGTACGCTGGAGGACGCCAGCTGCCTGCTGTGAGGAGTCTTGACCCTCTATAGGTTTTCAACAGGAAAGCTGTGCAGCTCCTGCGCTTCAGCTTTTTCCTCCACTAAGGTGGGCAGCTTTAATAGACTCTTTAACGTCTTCTGAGCGTTCTGCTCTCGGCGTTTGTGCGGAGGGCAACAGCCGGAGTACATCTTACGATGCTGAAGCTTTTGGGGCTGTGCCTGGTCATGAGAATGCGCTGGTGCTTGAAGGGGGTCGTCCGTTATCCGGACTTTGCCACATCGCGTACACGAATTCCTCCAATGACCTTGTCAAGGACAGGGATGACCGCATATTGCTGTGCAGAGAGGACATGCGTTCAGACTGACGGTTAGCGTGAGAACGTCGCGGAGGCATTACCCATAAAGTGCCGTACCCATGCAGGTACCCTGCTCAAAATCAGGATGCTGATCTCATGACCATGGACGTTCAGCGCAGGTGCTGACATTTTTAGGGTTCCCGTGTTTGGTGTGGCGGCGGTCGCTATCCTGGACGCCATGCAACTATCGCAATCACGTTCTCTACTCGGATGGTCTTATACCATCTGAACCACACTTTCTCACGTATGAGCGCTCTTCTGTCTTTGACTCGCTTGTGACCAACGTGTGCCAGCCTCAACACGCGCGTTGCTTGCAGTTCATGTGCCCGTACAACCCAAATCGTGTGCCACGTAAGAATTCAATGTTGTCCGCGAATTCTGGTCTACGCGACAGCTTCCCCTCGAACTTTGTGCATTCGACATCGATGATGCCGTTTACACCGCGGGGGTCGTTGCGTCTCGCGATCTCCCATGTGCCAAACCGGATGCGCGGTGAATGAAGTTGCAGCGGCTCGCACAGATTCCGAGTCTTGTTTGGTCAATGTAACTAGCAGCCCTGACCATTGGACAAACTAATACGCGTTTGGCCTTATAACCGCGTAATGCCATTAATTAAACTACACAAGGCGTGCCAGTTACTTCTAGCATTCGTCAACATTGCATAACTCAATGGACATATTATTCCTTTAAGTGTAATCCACGTGATAATACTTGACAAATGTATAATACTTTGTTTTAACCATTATTTCCCCTTTAATCACTGTCGAATATAGATTATTTCCATGTGAACGTATGTCACTTTAACTTACCGATGTCTCGGCTAGTTTTTTCATGATGGGGAGAAGCAGGTTGTCAGTCTTTATCTTTGTCCACCCGAGTCGATCTGCTGCAAATCTATTTCTCGGTCAAGAAAATAACTTTTTACAGGGATTTCCCGTTTATTGAGCAATTATATCAGTATGTTTTCCAATAAATTAGATATTAAGGAGACCTACCACTTATATGGAAGCTAGATCTCAGAATCCTAGTTCTATAAGCATGTGTCATTTCTAAAAAATCATGTCCAAGGTATTGCAACGCTTGCATACTGCTAGAAAAATTCCTAGTGATACACATGTAAACGATTACCTTTATCGAAATTTAGAAAGAACAGACATCATTTGTTACATAGTTGGTTGTAATATTGTTGTTTGAAGCAGACATCATGGCTCGTAATGCAAATTTAGAAAAAACAGATATCACCTGATGTAAAGTTGGTTGTAGTATTGTTGTTAGGAGCACACATCATGGCTCATTACGCATGAAAATGAAGGATACATCCGGAGATCACACAGACTGGGAGACGACCACAGAAACGCTTCCATCGATTCATCAACGGTGGGCTCGCAATAAGCCTCATAGACAGCCCTGCTGGGAAAACCTGGGTTTAACTCCAACTTTCTAATTTTCGACTTGACTTTGGTCTCCTGTGGTATCTTCTCCTGGCCTTTCATCTCATCATATAACGTCCTGAAATTGAATACAGGAATAATTACACAACATGCAATCAGCAGCTCAGTGCCACCACACTGAAATGGAAATATCATAATTAATACTGTGAACATAAATATGGCCAACCCTGTATATAAAGGTAACTCAATGCAAACCCTGAAAATCTCCTTCACAGACAGTTGTCCATTATAAAGAAGTACCCGCTAACACAGGTTTGATTGTACCATCTACAATAACTAGAAAGGGCAGTTGTCGCCAACTAAATGTATCCCCTGTGATCTAGTATGAATGAAATATCTCTGTAAGCACGTAGAAGGTAGGTAAAGTTAAATAAGTCACAAAGAAATGTGCAAGTATGTTAAAATTGGTTGCCTTAGAGGTTTTGGTACGTGACACACCTTCTCCCCAAGATGTGTAAGTATACCAAGTTTGGTAGCGCTAGGTCAATTAGAGGCCGAGTAATAGAGCGGAAGGGAAATATGATCAAGGTCAAATAAAGGACGCAGTGACCTGGTTTTGGTACGCTACGCACCTTCTCCCCAAGATGTGTAAGTAGATCATGTTTGGTCACGCTAGGTCAATTAGGGGTCGAGTTATAGAGCGGAAGGGAAAGTGTCTGCGGCGGCGGCAAGCGGCGGCAGCGGCTGGGGAGACATGAAACCATAGTATCCCCGCCGACTTCGTCGCGGGGGATACAATTATACTATCATTACTGCTAGTACGTAATAATGCTACCACTGCTGCTGCTATAAAGTATCTGCTAACACAGGTTTGTCTGTACCATCTACAATAATCACATTACCATTACTGCTGGCTAAATGCTACCACTGCTGCTTTCTCCTTGATTCATCGCACAACACTACAAAGACTGTATAATACCTAAGCTTGAGGAGGGCATCGAAAGAGCCACTGGCTGGTAAGTCACAGAGAATCTTCATGTCAAGCACTAGCTATGTGTCATCGCGCCACATGATCATGTATATTGACATCACACGATTGATCCTACAACACTACAAAGACTTTAATACCTGAGCTTGAGGAGAGCATCGAATGAGTCACTGGCTGGTAAGTCACATAGAATCTCCATGGCCAGCACCGATCCGACGCCCCGTACCCCCGCCGTGTAGTCACTGCCTAACAGGAGGGCCATGTTCACGAGTTTGTGTCGGCTCAGACCTGTACAATCAATGCTCTACTATACTCTCCACATTTCTAAAGCTTAACTTAACTACAAGAGGAGGCAAGCAGTAAAAGAATGATCAGTAGGATAGAACTCAGCATGCTTCAGATTATTTTGCCTTGCATTTGTCACAATCTTATTTGGTACCGGTGTAACCAATGCCAAATAGTCTACACTGGAGAATTCTGGCTGTGGCAGCCTGCACTATGAAGTGGTTACAGTTACTGATGTAGCTAGGAACAGTGTAGCTTCTACGTGATAAAAATTATTTATGTACACTCTACGTATGTTCATGCATTTTGTTCATGATACTACTAACACCAACCACTGATGTACCCATAGATACCTACCAAGGTCTGTGACCAAGTCCTCAGCACGATAGCTCTCAACATCTTTGTCCTGCTTGAAGAAGTTTCTGTAGACACGTTTCGCTCCAAACAGCCAGATGTCACTGTCGTCTGTGATGGATCCGTCGGTCTGCCCAGTCATGTCGAGATATGCGCACTGAGCCTCCGCCTCCATAGGGGCAACAATGTAAGGAATCCCAAACAACTGCAACAGCTCCTGCGGACACACAGACGAGAATGAGTGGCAGAGTAATGACACGACGATGTATATTTATACTTTAAGAATATTATTGGCTCCCGAAATTTGGTATCGATATGGACACACACACATGCACATAAATACACACGCCGAAATAGATACACAAACTGACGGACATTAGGCCTAATTGATCTATCTGCCAGCAGTATTTCTCATTTCGTCACTGTTTCCGCTTTCAACGGATAAGTAGCGTAAGGGTCATTTGTGACAAATATTACATTTAAGTTAGATAGATAGACAGACAGACAGACAGACAGACAGACCGACCGACCGACAGACAAACAGACACATAAACAGATAGTTAGCTATATACCTGTGCATCAGCGTACATGTAATCAGTAACTGTAGCAGCCTGTTTCTTCTGCTGCACATTGCTCTTCTTCAGTGCGACCGCTTCCTCTTCCAACACGTTCTGAATGTCAATCAGTTCCTCCTGTAATGTTAATCATGATCAGGGGGTGTTAATTTACTTAATTAGATATAATATACGTCAGGATTTAAAAATTAAACAGGATATGCACTACGCGATGAAAGTAGATTCCATCTTTCTATGTAGAGTTTCCAGCACCAGCAATGGAGTGGACAACCAGATTTCCTCTTCACACCTAATATATGGCAAGGTGTGCATGGACATAACACTTTATTTTATATATCTAATACAACAGTGCCACTCACTAATAGACTCTCTCATAGGCTTAGTTCAAAATTTAGAAGGATGATGAATATTATTAACTCAATGTGGTTTAGAGCAACAAGAAAGATAAACATCGATGAATCTACATAATTGTCAGGATGGCAATATCATGGATGTTTACTTAATAAAAAGTGTGAACTATTACAGATTTTAATATGCTTTTAATTAAACTCCTTGATGTGCATTGAACTAAATCTACTAGCCTTAGACATTTCACTCTTCAGTGCTTCACTGTCATCATCCAGGGTTACTAATTCAGGTTTTTCATGGCCGATTTCCTCGCCAGATGGCTCTGGGTGCTCAGTCTCTGAGGCATCTTCCACCGCTTCCTCAAACACACTCGCTGGGAAGAGTTCATCTTCTGTCATTTGGTTTGGATTGAATGTTACCTCAATAAATTCATCATCTGTAACAAATAAATATAGTATAATTATTAAACTAATTAATAATATTAAGATAGCCCTGACGTGATATCACGTTAATAAAATCAATGTGTACACGATGTACACAGGATCTCATAAAATGTGATCTTGTGATACTGTGTTACACTTGTGTGACACCTGTGAAATGTGACACTTGTGAAAATGTGACCCTTCTGAAATGTGACACTCGTGAAATGTGATCTTGTAATACTGTGTGACACTTGTGTGACACTACAATGTGACACTCGTGTGACACTTCTCATACTGTTTCACAAACCTACAGAAAGTGTCACCCACCCTGTGATGAGTCAGCTTCATGGTTGTCATTAGACGTTGTGAGTTCTGAAGTCTCCCTAACACCATCTGGCTTCCTCTCTTTCATGCCCTCCGGCTCCTTCTTATAACTAACACTTTGATCTGATGAATCCAGGCTGGTCGGTCCCATTGGTTTCCCACTGCTATATTTTATAGGTGAAGCATTTGGACTCGTTACGTTTAACGTTGTTCTTTCAGGAGCGTCGGAAACTATATCTCTCGCATCTGGACTCCGACTTGTTTTGAGGCTTGCGGAGGGTTCCATTGATGGGATCATCTGAGAGCGTGTGCTTGTATCAACAACTGACGTGGCCACTGGTGGAGCTTGTCGATCCCACGACATCACAGGTTCAGCGCAATTCACCCGACTGACAACATCGTCATCGTCGTCTGCGATAAAACCGCCAGCAGCAGCATACTTGCTGTCATCCAGCTGCTCATCGTGACTTAGGATTCCTGGTTGAGAACATGTCACATCTGGGGCATCGCCCACAGGTACCTCCAGACCAACATCTTCCGTAGGTTTCTCCTTTTGTTCAATGTTGATTCTATCAGCGGAAGTGCCTGGGTTGAGTTTGCTGTGACCTTTGACAAGGATGTAGTGTGCGGATGCCTCGGATGCTAGCTGGTGACACTCTACTTCTCCCCCTTCTCTACCTAAAATCACGGGTACGTCTCCACTGCTCTGGCTCCTCATCTCTTTACGTAAGTCGTATATGTGCTTGGTGAGTTTCGACCGCTTGAGAAGCGCGCCGATTTGAAAACTGGAGAACTCGTTGCTTTCCTGGGCGAAAACAAAAGCATTAAAGCATAAATTACGAAAATGATTGAAACGAAATACCGTCACAATTTTTACGTCATGTTTATCATGAACTAGAAAGGGGTCTAGCATTCCTACTCCTATTGCTATTGCTACTGGTACTGCTACACTTCTAACTGCGGTTGCTACCACTATTGATATAACTGATGTTGCTGTTATAAATGCTGTTGCTGTTAGCAGTGCTGCGAATACTGGTGTTGCTGCTACACTGATGTTGCTGATGCATAGCCTATAGCTTAACGGCCTCAGCCTAGCCAACCCAGTTAACGTAGGTTCTCGTGTGATAGATTTCTCGTATGAACTGTGATTGATATGGCTTGAATATTCTGAATGAATATATGTATATATATATATATATAGGTGTGTGCATGCGTGTGAGCCCGTATGAGTGTTGAAATGATGTTAAAGTGTACCTTAATCACTTTACTTGTACAGAATGTACTGTCGTTTTTGTATATATTTTCCCCCTTCATGTTGTATAGCGCTGTTTTGCACTGTATCACTCAGAGATTTTATCACTTGAACTGCTCAACACTATCGCATCTATCAGATTTACTCTTTGTGAAATATACTGTCTTCAGTATATGTATTTGTATTTGAACTACATGCAGTAATGATTCCCGTACTTGCGGGAGTTCTTCAGTATCGGTAAGATGCTTGTTACGTTCTTTCATCTCGACGAGAATCTCGTGCTGGAGCTCCGGCGGGAGGCTGCAGAAGTCGGACGCGTTCACATCGACGTCGTTCACATTGTAGTAGCTGTCGTGTATCGCCCCGCGTGCGATCATCCTCTCCTCCCATGAATACTCGTCCTCGTTTCTGCATGGAGACAAGACAACTAATGACCATCTGTCATACTGTTATAAATACATGATCTATACGGCTATTTTACATGATCTATACATGATCTGTACAGCTATTTTACATGATCTATTCATGATCTATACAGCTATTTTACATGATCTATACAGCTATTTTACATGATCTATACATGATCTATACAGCTATTTTACATGATCTATACATGATCTATACAGCTATTTTACATGATCTATTCATGATCTATACAGCTATTTTACATGATCTATTCATGATCTATACGGCTATTTTACATGATCTACTTGGCTATAAATACATTATCTCAGCTATTTCATTGTGCTGTTTGGTGAGTGCATTATATTAGCATTATATGAACAACAGCTGAGCCGAATGGGGAAGAAAAATAGCGAGACTATACCAAAATATACATAGATGCTGTATAGTTACCGAGAAAACACAAGTCAGCAATGAGAGCTGTTTCAAGTACATATTTATAGTTATGAACACATGCCAAGCATATTTTCGGCAAGTTTATATGAAGGAAAATGTCACGTGCCTCTCAGCGATCTGGTCCCCTTCCAGATCAATCGTCATCGGTGGTAAATGGAACATATCATTGTCACCCTGACGGGCAGACACAGGCGATTTAGTGGCTTTGCTTGGGATAGACTTTCCATTTGGGTCGTCCTCCAACTTGTCTATTTGTGATTGTATGGCCTGCCCATGTATTAGGTTATATAGAATCTTCTCTGCTGTCTTCAATGACTTCTTCTCAGCGGTTCCACTCTTCTCGCGTCGTGCAGCCTAGTGAGAGAATCACCCAGACATTTAGTTACTTTCAAGTATTAACAATTGCATTTATTGTATTTCAAACTCAAACATTTTTCATCAATTGGAAAATGTGACTTACGCATACACAAATGCACATTTCCTCGTTTTACATTCATATTGGTGAGCGTGTCATTTCAACACTCCTACGTATTTTCAGTGCGGTAAACAAACATACCGTAGTTTGTTTCTTTAGTTCAGGTACGCCACCATCAAACACAAACACAGGTTTAATCTTGTAGAAGAGAAGTTTGCAGATTCGATTGAAGAGGCTGACTAAATGAGCATTTGGCATCATTGTGCCATGCTGGTCTCGCATACCTCGAACTGCCTGGTGTAGCCAAATACTTACATCTAAGAATAAGAAGGTAAGGAAGATGCAACACAAGTATCTGACTTGGCTGTACAATGTATATAGCGCTTGGATAGACGGCACAGCTTTGCACCTGTAATACTAATACTATCAGTACCGGTATACTATCACTAGCAGTGCCAGTGATAGCTGGCAGTGTGTAACAGCACAGGCCCTTGGAGGCTCAAGTTTCAAGAAAAGTATAAGAGCGACAGCGCTTCGCTCGTATACTCTTCTTGAAACTTGAGCCTCCAAGGGCCTGTGGTAACAGCTAGAGTGGAGAACTTACACCAAGTACGGTACAATACAGTGTATTCAATCATTCGAGCACACCTATACTCTAGTCCGAGCCGACGCAGACCCAGAAATGGGGTTACTGGGGCTCAAGGGGTCGTTGTCGTATCAGGTACTACACTGGAGACTGTGAATCTCCCGTAGCTCGGATGACCACGTAAAATGGCGCACCGTCTCCAAGAAATACTATACCAATGGGGACGAAAGCAGAAACCACTGAGGGCGCAAAAATAACTCTGGCTGTGACCACCCTCAGTGCCATTTGACTAAAAAGGCTGTCTACCTGAACTGACTACTGAATAAGAAGAATAAGAATAAGAAGAATAAGAAGAAGGAATTTAATAAGAAGGATAAGAAGGATAAGAATAAGAAATAAAAAAAGAGAATAAGAAAAAAGGAATAGAATAAGAAATAAAGAGATAGGAATAAAGTGCAGAAAAAAAAAGAGATAAGAGATAAACTAATATTTCCCAGCAATATTCAAAGAATCAGATGGCACTCTTTAAATTCAAGAGAGGGACCCCAAGATAAAACAAGATCATCGATATTAGCTCCGCTCGAAATAATAAAAAATGAAGAATGTCATTGTCCTGCCAAGCACCAGCATCTCGGGTTAATTCAGCAACAATTCTGGTTGCCCCCGAAAACTATCCCCAACTTCGCCTATTTTCAATCACATTATAACATATAAAAACCACGCCCAAAACAGTGGCGTATGAATCCAGATTTTTTTATACAACATGGGGCCAAAAACAGCGAACGTCGCAATAATAGTGATGACTTAATTATTTTAACTGCGCTGGCTCTCCGCCTCCCTCCCTCCACACCCCTACGGCTCCTCTATCTCAGCTCTCGCAATCTTCTGTTTTGGGCGCGCATGACGAAAAGGCGAACATTTTTGTTCATTGTTCTCTGCTCCCAGATATGTAATGTTCAGTGGCGCAGTCTAGATTCCAAAGGAGGGGGGTGAAAATAACAGGTGGGGTAATGGGTCCTCCCAGAAATTTTGGAAACTTTGCCTGGTTGCCTGGTTCCAAATCGACGTCTCATCCTCTCATAAATCAGAAAACCTGACATATATCAGTGTTGGAAATAACAACTGCGTTGCCGATACATTTTCTATAATTATCACCTGATAAGGATTCTTGATGAGCTAGAAACACTTGGATTGTGAAGTATGGGTGGAGTAAACTGAACACGTATTGTGCCAGCTAGCTACCAGTTGATTGGGATTGATTGTCCCAGTTCAGATTAGTGATGTCACATCAATTCGAATTTACTCGATCATCGTTGACACAGTGCTTCGACAAGCGGCTTTTGGTTACTAAAATCCATAATCGACTTCATTCGGAAAAAAAACTTTTTTTTAAATAAAATTTGAAACAAGAAAAAAAACTTTGGTAAGTGAGTGAGAATCAGAAGATTATCATCGCTACTATACAATTAGTCCTTATTAACATGACATGTATTCATGCCCACAGTAGTAAACATGCAAAACAACAGTAAACAGGGGCTAAACAGCACATACTATGCACCACATACATGTACACCGACGTTACGCGCACACCGCATGATTTCAACCCCCAGAGTAATCCGTTGTAACCGATTCATCGTTACTTGGGTCCAACCGATGATCCGAAAAAAATTAGAAAATTATCAACCGATTATCAATCACTAGTTCAGATGCAAAATATGAAAGGCAAAAGGTTATTCACCATAGATTAATTGGTTACTATACTACTATTAACACCGTATATTAAGATAGCGATTGGTGTAGAGTTATGTGTTAGGGGTTAGGGTTTTTTTGTTGTCCACCGGACAGATGTCTCAGACGTGGTTATACTAGTTGTCCGCCTCAAATTCTGTTGTCTCCGGACAACCGACACGCTTATTCGAGCACTGCGAAGTATGTACTCTCAAGGTACATA